GCCAAGTTGTATGGCCTCATTTTTGCAACTTTTTGACTGGTTTTTCCGGTCTCCCACATTTTTCGAACATTGTATGTACTTATATTCACTATTGCTGTGGTTATTAGAAGAATCATCATTTTGAGGATTTCTGAAAAATTTCGGCTTTCACAGTGAGGTGTCGCAATTCTTTCTTCAAATCGCGGGACAAATTTTAAATGGTTTAAATTATTTTTTCTCGTCAGTATTTATCTAGCAAAGTTGTTTTCTATGGGATGGGTTTGCTGACTAACTCTCCTACTTCGTGTGGGCTTTGGACTGTCAGTAACCCTAGAAGAGCTAATGGCGGAGTTTAATAAACACACACATAGCTTAAGTCAAAAACATCTTGTAATAATTCGCAAGTGTATGCCAATTTTCAACATTATTTGAATCTGTCGACGTTCATAATAAGTTTCGAAATTTACCTATGTTTACATTGATTATACACCTATCATATTATCAGAGGGTATGTTCAATAGTGAACTCTAATGTCTCGAAAAAATGCTGCTCCTGTTACTAGTATGGTTATTGATTATGACTATGGAATTTTATATTTGCGATCAATTAATGAATTACAATCCATTAAATTATAAATAATGAAAAAAAATCAATTAATCAATGATTAAATCTAATTATATAGTTTATAAAATCAATAAATGAGATACTTCAGCTAACAAAAATAATTGAACTATTGAGTTACATATTTGGCTTTTGCCAACTTACGTCACCTATCGCGAAGACCAGATATCCGCCTATCAATTAAAGGACGACTATACTGCTCAGCAGTTCGCTCTATTCTACTTTACAGCTGCGAAACGTGGCCATTAAGAGTAGAAGATACTCGTAAGTTACTAGTATTTGACCACAGACGCCTTAGAAATATTGCTCGCATCTGCTGAGATCACCGAGTAAGTAATAGTAAGGTTAGACACAGGGTATTAGGAAATGATGGTACATCAGTTGATGAGGTTATGATTCTTCACCAACTTAGGTGGTTAGACCATGTGTTAAGTATGCCTGAACACCGATTAACACGACGCGCTATGCTGACTAGTGTAGGGGATGGTTGGAAAAGAGTTATGGGCGGCCAAACCAAAACATGGCATTAGTGCTTGAAGTCACTAATTTTCAGTCTGAGACATATTGGTAGATGCAGACTACTTGGTTGGGGTCCGCGCGACTATCGTAATCAATGATTGGAGACTCTGGGTGACATGGCTCAGAATCGATCACAATGGCTCAGGCGTATACACTCTTTATCTCCCCTTAAACCTTAAGATTAAAATTGCTTCATAACTTTCCTACTTACTATATTATATCCTTATATACAACTTACCTTTTATATACTACCACCAATAAATTAACTACTTCTATAAATTTGGTGTTCAACTTGTTATGCTAAAGAGGTATGGCAACTTGGACCGATGCATAAATATACCTGATCCTACGTTGTAGCTGACTGACTGACTTTTCCTTTACATAAACCAATTAATTGATTTTATATAAAATAGATGGAATATGACTTGGAATGAAATCCAAGACATTTATTTCGTTTTATTTAGGGCTCATCAGCTAGACCATGCCTGGATCTAGATTCTAATATCAGACTTTAGCCAAAATGTCATCAATGAGATAACCCAAATCATAAAAACATCAGTAGAATAATATGACAGTTAAGTTTCTATGATTCATATATTTGAATGTGTTGAAATATTTTTAATTGTCGATACTTTAAAGAAATGTCTAATACTGATTACATCATCAATAGAATAGTCTACTGTATTGTTAACTTTAACATAAAAGAATCTATTTTTAGTTACTGTTTCTGTGATAACGATTTACATTGAAGTAAGCAAACATTCCGTGTTTTTTTTTGGGTTGATTTGATGCCATTTTAATTTAATAATGGAATTATAAACAATATCTTATCATCAGAAGGGGGTTTTGTGGAAATTTTCATAATTTTATAGTTAAAATCATGAGTCAATTGAAGCTAGACCAACATGGAAAACGTGAAAGCACTGGACAATCGTTTCGTTCTATTGTGGGACTCCTCAGCAGTAAGAAGCAGTGGTCAGCGGAGTTCAACTGTGTCTGTTGTGAGATAGTAACTCACTGACGTTGATAAAATTCGTGGATTAGTTGAAGTTAGACATTAACAAAGTTGGATGACGGCCGGCTAAGTGGTCTTAAGTTTATGCGCTCGCGCACCAGACTGATACGTCCTAGATTCGAACCTCGCTAGGCGGGATCGTGTATACACACTGCTGAGGAGTCCCACAATAGGACAACACGGCCGTCCAGTGCTTCCAAGTTTTCCCATGTGGTCTAACTTCAATTAACTCATGATTTCAATTATGAAAATAACTGAAATCTCCACAAAACCCCCTCTAAAAATGTTATGTATTTGTGCTATATACATTTCAAACAATCTGATCACATATATACTTATCAAGGCGTTTTATATTAAATGTATATTCGGAATGTATAGTGCATCCAGATCATCTCTGTCTTTTCATTATTCTATGGAAATTTTATAAAAGGGATCAATTGTTTTTTTTTTATAAAATTTCATTCCAGTTAGATTTTAATATGGTTGTTCAAATGAACAATAAAGTAACATTATTTACTAAATCGAAACAAAAGAAGTATATCTACGATTGAAGAACATCTAAAACTCAAAACAACTTTCAATCAACACTAAAGTCAAAATTTTCAATACAAATATCAAAACGGTTCTACTGTATTAGGCGAAAACCTAGAAAACTACAAAAAATTATCATCCACAAGATACAAGTGTTTATTAACAGTTGTCTACACAAAATACTTCAGATCCATTGGTCAAACACTATCAACAACAAGTTACTGTGGGAGACAACAAACCAGATTTCAGTGGAGAAAGAAATCAGGAAAAATTGCTGGAAGTGGATAGGAAACACATTGAATAAAACACTGAACTGCGTCACAACACAAACACTAACATGTAATCCTTTATGACAAACGAGAATAGAAAGATCAAAGAACACATTACCCTAAGCAATAGAGAGAGAGAGACATGAGAAGAATGAATAACAATTGGATAGAATTATAAAGGAAAGCTCAGAATAGACTAGATTGAAGAATACTGGTCAGTGGTCTATACTCTATTGGGAGTAATATGCGTAAGTAAGTAAATAAGTAGATATTTACTAAATCAAATATAATTTTACACAAATTAATAAATGAAAATTAAATCAGATTATCTGATTATGTAATAGTAAAAAAGATCTGACTAAAAACCATTTTTTTTGTTTAGTCAAATTTAATAGTTTTTCATTGAAAGAAATAAAAATGAAATCAGTTTGTAGATACATTAATTTGAATAATTACCGACTACTGAAACTTGTAATGTATGTTACTGATATCGATACATATAAGTAGTATGTATCATTAATCAGTGATGAAATACCTGGTTACAGAAGGTTAAGAAGATTAAAGAAAAGGAGAATAAGAACAGTGAATTATTGTTGTGGAAATGAAGGAACAGTGAAGTCTAAGATAATTGATTGATATTTTACAAATGACTTATTTACTGTATGATTCTTAGATTTTACTAAGATGTTCTATACTTTCTATTCAAATATATATTCAATTGTCTCCACTTATGTTCTCGTCTACTATAATACCAACTAGTAATATATACATTACGTAATCAGATTATTAGCTTATACATGATACATATGAAGTTCAGACTGATAATACTAAGCTGATTAGTGTGGGAATAATTGACATTTGGGATTGAAAAGAAATAGTTTACCTTTAAAGCTCTAAATATATCCATAGGATTACAGAACAATGGTGTATTGGGACTGATGCACCTGTTAATTTGAATACACATCTCTATCAAGAGTCTGATTCAAAGACTTTATCAATGAATCATTTAGAGTGGGACTGAAACCACTTTGATACTACTTAACCTAATAGCTTTATGAACGACTTGATCAGTAGGTAGGATTGATTTAGCATTAAGAATAAAACAATACTTACTATTCAATAACTGACTGATAAGTCAATGAAAGTTTATCGTTACTTCGAAAACCAATTATTACCGTACAACTGACGAAATAACAACGTCAAGTAATCATTAACCTGATAGATTCATTTCATTAATGATCGAGACTTGTAATTGATGACAATATAACAAGTTTTTCAACTAGAATATTATTCTTTATATATAGTTGAAATCATGAGTCCATTGAAACTAGACCACCATGGAAAACCTGGAAGCACTGTTTGACGGCTATTTCCTTCTATTGTGGTACTCCTCAGTAGTGCACATCTACGATCCCGTCTCTCAAGATTCAAACCTAGGACCTACTGGTCTCGTGCCAGAGCACTGAACCTATAGACCACTGAGCCGGCTGACATCCAACAGTGTTAATGTCTAACTTAAACCAATCCACGAATATTATTCATTAATATTATTATTATTTATACATTTATAAACTTATATATATAATCCCACTGTTCTGGATGAAATCATCGAGTGTCTAGTATGGTAAATAAGAATCATTACAATACGTTACATATATATATTATTAATTAATTGGCGGCCTGTTTAAACATCTGGACTACCTGTTCCTGTCATTTAGATATTTCAACAAGTTATCTAATCTCGTTTGTTTTAATACATCATTATGGACAATAATCGCGCAACCTGAATTAAAAAATGTACAACCTTTCGCTGTAAGGGTTACAAAAGGCCTAATCAGAGATATCGTGGTTGCTGGTGATATGCAGCGAAAAGAATGTACATTATCCAGATGTCGATTGACTAGACTGCTAACTTCTAACTGGCAATCACTCAATATTTATCGCCAGGAAGGACGAAGAAGTATGAAAAGGAAACTTGTTGAAGTACTTTGTTCTGAGAATTCTATATTGTACCAAAAATATAATATTGAATAAAGCTACTACTAATAATATTAATAATAACTTACTTTTAATGGTCTATTAACACGTACAACATCTATTGTCATTGTTGGTGCACGACTACCTGATTGTTGATTCACTAATTTATTTCTCATTTGTACTGTTTGTAATTGTAATTGATAAAATGATGATTCAGATAGATTTTCATCATCTTCATCTTCTCCATTTTCCATTTTTTTTTTGTCACTGTTGTTGTTGCTAAAGGAATTTATTAGTGAATGTCTTAATTAATGAATTCAATTCACAGTTAATATTTAATTGTTCAGTGATATAGATGATACCAATCTACTTGGTTTCTCCCAACGTCATGTTTACTTTTATAAGGGAGTATATGTGTCTTTCGAATGACTGAATTACATTCATATCCCACACTGTTTCCCAGTTGCACGCAAGTATATATACACATATATATGACAAACACATACATATATATCTATCAAATATGTATACACACACAAACACAATGTTCCCTTTCTTATTTCTGTTTATCTCTACAACATATCACATGTTATCCCATCATATAAAATTAACTAAAGAATGTTCGATCCCCATTGAAAAACGAAAGAAAATCATACAGAAATCACATATATCATTAATAGATGGGGAAAGCAAGAGTTAAGAATTATACCTTCTATGATAACACACACATATGATTGGGAAATTTTTTTGTTGTTGTTGAACAAGAAGCACTAAGATTCAATGATCATGTGATAGCGGGTAATTTATTAAAGTAATAAAAGAGAAATTGAGCTAGGTAACTAAATTCAGATATACCGGTTTGTTTTAAATAATGCACACTCTAATCCTTCAATATGTAATAAGAAAATAGAATAGATAAGTAATAGATAGAGAGACAAACATACTATTTGAATATATATCCATTTGTTGATAGATTGATAGACAGACAGGCAAGTTTCCTGATTGGTTCAAATTCAATATTTTGAACGGATTGATACATTTTATAAATCACTAGTATGATAAAACATCATATTTTTTAAAAAAAAAGATCAATGTTCAATTAAATATACATTGGTGGTAAGATATTAATTACAACTATACCGGGATGATGATCGAAATATCCCATTAGTGTTCATAAAGCCTACCGTACTATAGTATTTCGATTGAGATTTCATATGATAATAATGATTTAGATTAAATTCAAATGAAACAATAAGAATCCCTAATAAATAATGTTGAGATTTTGATCAAATAGGGATAAATGATTATTAAATTAAATGTAAAACATAGTGATCGATAGCATTCGATCAGCACTAAGAAGGACTTGACAGGCATGACATTGATCACTATTCAGTTGTCAATCAATTGTGATTACATCACAGTCCTACAGAAAGTCGGTCGCGGCCCGAATAGCTTAGTGGTAACGTCTCTGACTGTGAAGCTGAATGACACGGGATCTAATCCATTAGGGAGCACCAGTTCCCTCAAGATTACAGGTACACCTTGATGACGATTGCCAAGTAGTACGAAACCTGGGTCCAGGGTTTCCTGTTGGCCTCCTTCAACCACCATCTTATAGTTATTTCCAACTCATATTTCGTGGATTGGTTGAAGTTAGACATTAACACCGTTGGATGACAGCCGGCTCAGTGGTTTATCAGTTAAGTGCTCGCGCGCGAGACAGGTAGGTCTTGGGTTTGAATCTGACGAGGTGGGATCGTGGATGCGCATTACTGAGGAGTCCCACAGTAGGACAAAACGGCCGTTAAACAGTGCTTCTAGGTTTTCCATGGTGGTCTAACTTCAAGCGACTCATGATAAACTTCCAGATATTTGTCGATCTACTGAATGGTGGTATGATATTACATAACGGCTTAGCTAATGAGATTAAATTATGAAGTAAGTAAACGTATTATTGACTTCATGAATGTAGCCGCAAATATAAACCAAAAAAAATACTCCGGAAGATAACATTGTTAAATAACAAGTTATTATCAGAAGGGTTTTTTGGAGAGATTTAGTATTTTCATAGTTGAAACGGATGAAAAGGCCGTTCAGTGATTCCAGGTTTTCCCTGGTGGTCTAGCTGCAATTGACTCATGCTTTCAACTATGAAAATAACAAGTTGTTTCATTTTACATTGGAAAATTAAAATAATCATTTAATATACAAAACATAGAACCAAAGTGGTAAAGTCATGAATTACTTGTAAGTTAAAAGATTAATAACTATACGTTTACAGATTTATCAATAATACTTGTCTTTTATCTGTTTCAATGAGGTGGTGTTACTTCTAGACAACCAATATCTGGTAATATCTGACTTGAAAGTGATGTAGTCTTCAACTTTGTAAATACATCTCAGTCTTACTGGAGATCAGTTGCTGCCCGGATAGCTCAGTGGTAACGTCTCTGACTGTGAAGCTAGGTGATACGGGATCGAATCCTTCTGGTAGCATAATTTCCCTGTCAGAGGCTATATATTCGCTGGCCATGTGAGAGCATTTCGAGAGGGAGAGCGGATCCTCCCCACTCTCGGCCGTACCAGGGCATTTGGGGGCTTCAATTAGTGATGACTAAATGACATTGTAGTGAACAAAACACAAGCGAGGACCGTCGAATTTGATTAGGCACAAATTACAGACTATCTCATTGAATTCTGATAACCATACAGTCAACATTTAATTTGCAAAATAACAACCAATTGTCTCAATCTTAACGGTTCATTCTGTAAACATTAGTCCATCTTCTCTGAATTCATTGTTCATGCATTTTCGTACCGATTGCGCTTCATTTCTGTTCTTTCCTTACCGATCTTCTGCCAAAATACATTCAACGTCTGACCATCATCATATACTACTTATATTGATATAAGTAGACCGCGTCACAACATGACTGAGGCAATCCACTTAGAAATACAAATATGACAACAGAGACTGATTAGTTTCAATCCTGAATATAAGAAATAGTAAACGTAAAGGGATCAAAAATGATATATGTAGTATCAGTGATAAGTATACATGAGTTGTTGATTATAAGGTCAGACAACTTAATTAGATTCATAAAGATTTATGAGGAGGTAGATTAAATCTACAAAAATAGTGCTGTGAATAAAATTGCTTCAAGGTAATATTTTTAATGATAATAATGTTAAGTTGGTCATAGTTTTATTCTATTGACAAGGATCCATTCGAAAATATTTAATAACAATCACATTTACGAAATCATACATATCTGGTATTCGTTGTTTAATCATTACTTACTTATGGCTGTCAACCCTCGTGAAAGATCATAGGCCACTCACCACAATTCTTTATCGAACTCTGCCCTGGACACTCCTATCTAGTTCTTTATAGTTACTATTCATTCTTTTCATGTCTGCTTCCAATTCTCGACACAGTGGGTTCTTTGATCTTCCTCCTTTTCGTTTTCTTTCAGGATTCTAAGTTAGGGTTTGCCTCATAATAAAAGTAAAAGCATAAGCAGACTACGCAGAAGCAAACAGGGAAGTGAATAAAAGCATTAAAGCCAGCAAGCAGAAATACATGGGAGAACTAGCAACGGCGGCGGAAAAAGCTGCAAGAGAATAGAATATGAAACAACTATATGATACAACGAAGAAATAGGCAGGGATATATAACAAACCAGAGAGACCAGTCAAGGACAAAGAAGGAAAGACAATCACTGAAATTCAAGAACAGAGGAAAAGATGGGCAGAATACTTCGAGGAACTGCTGAATAAACCAGCCCCATTGAATCCACCGAACATCGAAGCAGCCCACACAGACATTCCAATAGATGTCACTCCACCAACGATCGAAGAAGTCAACATGGCCATCAGACAAATCAAAAGTGGGAAGGCAGCAGGACCTGACAATATACCAGCAGAAGCACTGAAGTCAGACATTGAAATAACTGCAAACATGCTTCACCTTCTATTCAAGAAGATTTGGGAAGAGGAACAAGTGCCAACGGACTGGAAAGAAGGATATCTCATCAAGATACCAAAGAAAGGAGATCTGAGCAAATGCGAGAACTACAGAGGTATCAGTTTGTTATCAGTACCAGGAAAAGTTTTCAACAGAGTGCTGCTGAATCGAATGGAAGACGCAGTAGACGCCGAACTTAGGGATCATCAGGCTGGATTCCGTAAGGATCGGTCGTGCACAGACCAGATTGCGACACTACGGATAATCGTTTAACAATCAGTTGAGTGGAACTCATCACTATACGTCAACTTCATTGACTATGAGAAGGTGTTTGACAGCATGGATAGGAGAAAATTATGGAAACTTCTTCGACACTATGGAGTTCCTGAAAAGATTGTCAACATTATCCAAAACTCATACGACGGACTACAGTGCAAAGTGGTGCATGGAGGACAGCTGACAGATGCATTTCCAGTAAGGACCGGAGTCAAACAAGACTTTCTACTCTGCCCCCTTCCTCTTTCTTCTAGTGATTGACTGGATTATGAAGAATTCGACATCTGTAGGGAAATACGGAATACAATGGACAGCTCAGAATCAATTAGATGATTTGGACTTCGCAGATGACTTAGACCTCCTCTCTCATACACACGAACAAATGCAGATGAAGACAGCAAATGTAGCAGAAGCCTCCGCATCGATAGGCCTCCACATTCACAAAGGAAAAAGCACGATTCTCAAATGCAACACGGAAAACACCAACCCAATCACATTTGATGGCGAAACTCTGGAAGAGGTAGAAACATTCAAGTACCTGTTTAGCAGTATCGTTGATAGACAAGGAGGATCGGATGCAGAAGTAAAGGCGAGGATTGGCAAAGCAAGGGCAGCATTTCTACAATTGAAGAACATATGGAACTCAAAACAACTCTCAACCAATTTCAAGGTCAGAATCTTTAATACGAACGTCAAGACAGTCCTACTGTATGGAGCTGAAACGTGGAGAACTACTACGGCCATCATCAGGAAGGTACAAGTATTTATAAACAGTTGTCTACGCAAAATACTCAACATCCATTGGCCGGATACTATCAGCAACAGCGTTTTATGGGAGAGGACAAATCAGCATGTTCCAGTTGAAGAGGAAATTAGGAAAAGACATTGGAAGTGGATAGGACATACATTGAGGAAATCACCAATGTGCATCACGACTCAATCCCTAACTTGGAATTCGGAAGGGAAGCGGAAAAGTGGAAGGCCAAAGAACACACTACGCCGGGAAATAGA